AAGAAAAAACAGTACATTAAATTCTGAAAGATATGAAGTATTCTTATAATCAGAAATATAAAATGATGATGTCATGAGTAATTAATTATACCATTAAGTTAGTCAGTTGTTGGTGTTCACATCTAAAGGAGAAAGAAGGGTTACGCCAGTGGATAATAATAGTAATACATTATCATCATCCTCATTGAACTACAGAGCTGTAAGAGGCCTGATGGATAAGACAATGAATAAACTAAATTTAATACTAAAACTATTTCAGTCATTTGATACTTTGTGTGTCTGGTTCAGTGATACAAGAAACTTAACAATTTAATTTTGTTTTTTAATACTTATGTGCTACTTAAAGTGCTCCATATACATTTGGAATTTAGATGTGAACTGTTTCCTTAAGAATAAGGAAACCACATATATACCCCGTTGGAAAAAGAGCAAGTCCCATTCGTTCGAGATTCCTGCAGCTAAAATTCAGAGTTCTAGCAGTAGGTTTTTATACACTCACATATCAGAACAGATGTATTTGTTTACATTTTAAATCTACATTGTGTATGCCTCTGTATCACTAAACTTGTATTCTGCTGGAGTTTTTTTTAGCTTAACCTAAGGGTAAAGACTAATGTCAGAGATGTTAAAGAACACCGATAATGAAGACACTTCTAAACAAAGCTTGGAGTGAAACGAGTGCTGCTTCAAAACACACTATTGAATTATTGCTTGATTTAAAAAAGCAGTTCCTTGTTTGGTGTGTTAGCTGAATTCATACCTAATTGAATGCAAATTACATTAGGTATGATCTCATATGGTATAGGGAGTCTTGTGACTTGATGGGGGCTGATGTTGAGCTGGTGATGGCAGCCGCTTGGCGAAGCTGAAAGTGTGAGGGTAACGCTTACAAACAGTTGCTTTTTTACTTACAAAAATATCTTTAAGACTGTCATTTCAATATATTGAGAGAAGATTATTCTCTGAAGGAATCTTGATCAACTTGTATCGGTCAATATCCTGCAACTTCCTTGCTTGATTAGAAATGGCCTAGAGTAGGAAAAATGCTCGGTGTTCAATTGCATCTTTTCATTTGTGGCACAAAATAGCACAAAGCTGATAATATTTTGATATACTGTAGGTATGAAGAGGATACGGGAAGCAGAGTTTGCTAACATACCTGCTAAGGCTCTTCATAGCTTCTCCTCATAAGGTCTTTCTACTGGAGGGCATGTGTACAAGGAGATCAAGGAAAAACTTTGCATTTCACTTGGTAGGGTTTTACATTTCCATTTTTGTCAGTATGCTACATTTATACTTTAATTCATTTTGTAATGTTTTGTTTATTGTTTTCTACTTGCCGTCATGGTAGTCAAACTGAAGTTGCTTCCATTGGTATACTTTAGTTATCATTGATAATATTGTACCCTGTTTGTGATGCTCACTGAAACAATATTGAATTAGAATATGACCAATTATTTATTTCAACTATTAAAGAAGCAGATGTGAAACACAATAGCAAATAGGCAAAATTCAGTTCAGTCTACCTTGTAGTCTTGAGCCTTCCCTCTCTGAAAACAGTTCTGGAACCTGACTGTCTAGACATAATTTAAAAATGATCAATTTTGAGCAAGATATGTTAAATTCCTTTCCACATATTCTCATACCTCTACCCCTTCTGTTGTCTGGCCAGGCACATCACACTCGTATTAACTCGTGCTTAATTTCTGTATCAAAGTTGAAGTGCCTGTTTAATTACTGAAGAGGACAACAGGAGAGCAGTTTCCTGGAATATAGGAACTTTTATTTATTTCCCCACAACTTTGTTTTGCCATGAGGGCTCCGGTGGGGATAAAATGCTTTAAAAATGTAAGACTCAAATGTAGCTGCTGGATCTGCTGAAGAGAAAGGTTTGTACTTTGAAGTGAAATGTTCTTTAGGTCTAGTGTAGGCATTCAGCTATGTAGTTTGTAGCTCTGGATTTTAAGGTTGCCTTAGTATCAGGCAAGCCATCCAAACTCAACACCTTAGATGCCTTAGAAAGGGGAGTTACTGCTTATTTTTATGAAACGTGGAACTGGAATGTTATAAGTAAGAAAATGTATATAAAGTATTTTGGACACTTGCCACTATTATACAAACACTCAATATCATTCCCATAGTCTTGTTATCTTTGCAGCTAGCAAGTCATGATCGTTGTATACATTTTTTAGTTCTCTCTGGACTGAGATTATTTCCATAAACTGTTTAACTCAGACATTTTCCTGTATCTCGAGCAGGGGCTGTAAGCTTTGGGAGGAACAGGGCAGATCAGGGTAGAGGGCATCTCCTGTCATCTATGTTACCTCATTTTATTGCATTTTTGTCAGAACCTTGCAATGCACAGATAATGTTACTGAATTTTTACCCGAGGCAGGCAATGTTCATTTTAGTTTTTGATTCATTCTTACGGAACTGCAAACTCTCCTTGTTTTTCATAAAATATCATACGTGGTGAATAGGTGCAGCTTAACCTGTTAATGTGCCAGGGGGAAAAAATGAATAGAATAATAGGATGGATGTAGTTAAGTCGCAAGAAGATGCGAAGTAGCTTTGCTTAATTCTGCTCCAAAAATAGGCATTTGACTGCTTTTGACAATCCAGTTTACCAGGCACTGGACGTGACCCCAAGTGAAAATGTTGGGTTTAAAACCAGTAATTGCACCAAGGCTATGTTTTTCATATTAAGATATGCCTATCTACGTGTCTCTGTTTGATCCTATGTCGTCTTGTGGACTTTGGAACTTTTATCAGGAGTGTTTCTGGTCCTGGAACTACCTGATCCAACCAAGGGTGATGGGTGCTTGACAAATAAGCACATTAAATGTTGCCACAGCAAAGGTTTTTAGCATGGCATTGTAAAGACAGTAAAGTAACTAACTAGGTGATTCTCTGTGTGCCTGGAAGAGCAGTTGATTGCTTATGAGCTGTACGTGGAAAATATGGAGTTCCATCAATTTGGTGTGCCGTGTAACCTGGGAGGTAAACATTGTTAGAATGTCGAAGGAGAGGGAGCATTTGTGATCTGCCACATGATAATGGTTCTTGCAGTGGTTTCATTACAATTAAAATGTAACTGTAATGAGACCAGCTGGAGTATAAACAATAAAGCGCCTTGTGCCATCTTAAAGACTAAAATACTTTTTGGACTGTAGATACTTCATCCGTGGGAGGTAGCCTGTGAAGATACGTGCTTCAATACCTATGCGTTGCTCCACAGACTCTTGATGGTTTTGCCACAGCACCTTCTGGCAGTCATGGCTACTGATTGCCATTTTTTGTGTATCTGCACGACTTGTAGACATGGCTCTTCACAGACTCAGTTAACACTCCATTCATCTGATTGCGTGGGTTGTGGTTCACAAAGGCTTATACCAAATAAAATGCATTAATCTTTAAGGCGCCATACCTCTCTCTGTTATGTGTGTTTCATAATATAATACAAGTTAAAAAGTTGGGCTCTGTGCTTTAGTGTTTTGAGTCTCCCCAATCTGTTCAGAGGTATCCTCAAATTCTGCAAATTTGGGTCGGCAACTGATAGCTATTCTTTTTCACGTTGTGTATTTCTCAATTCTAATTCTTCCATACAGTTGGTTTTCACACACTTTCTGAGGAGCTGTGCCGCTCATCACATTTTTCAAAACGTGCAATGAGCTTCCTGTTCTGGCAGTATATAGTTTGATTTGGCAGTTGCGTGATGATCTTTGGGCAGTAGCCTGAGAGAGGGCCCACAGCTTTTCAGTTGGCAAGTGTAAATAAAATGGTCTAAGGGAGTTTATTTTATTTGGTAAATTTCGCATTTGGCAGTCGAAACTGAGAAGTCAGTGTAGCCCATGCTTTCTCAGCCATTGTTAAAGCTGTGGTGCTACTTTAAGAGAAGGGCAAAGAACACATTCCTGTTGAGAATAAGCTATTAAAGCTAATCATATTGGCACCCATTGTTGGAACTAATGGGAGGGAATCTGTCTTGGTTTTGACTTGATTACTTCAGGGTGAGAGAGTTTAGATTCTGTTGCTCATTTCCTCAGAACCAGTAGGGTTCCTAATGATATAATTGTGCAGCTGGAAAGGATTTGAAAGCTATTTAATCCAGCCCTCCCTTCCACTGGGCAATTACTTTAGCAGGGCTGTCCAAAGTTATTTAGATGATAATGTTCCACAGTGGAAGTATCTGTATGAGTCCCACCTTCAAATGGCTTGAATCAGTTATGCTTACTTAGGATGGCAATGAACAAGCAACCTAGAGTGATCTGGAGGTATTGAAAAATGCCTTTATTTTGAAGATGCAACTTAAATGAATGATACAGACTTTTATTTTCTCCTCTGCTAGACATCCCCTACATAAAATATCAGTGGGAGGGCTGATCATTCACTGATTTGCAGTGCAGCCAATGTCCATGGCCAGTCCTTCGACCTCCCCATTCAGAGTGAAGCTGACTCCTTTTTGTCCTTTTACGATTGTGATTCTTAAACACCCCTTTCAAGCCAAACTCCTGCCTCCTTCTTAGGTACACAGGAAGCTGTTTTACGCAGAGTCAGACCCTTGGCCCGTACAGCTGGCTGGCAAAAATTGCTCTCCAGGACTTTCGATTGGAATTTTCCTGACCATCCTGGGGAAGCCCAGCCTGACACCCACGTCCGTGGGAAGCATGTGGTCAGTCTGCCTTGAAAGGTTGCCAGCTCTGCTCCTCAAATTTTAACTGCCAGTCCACACTCGGCCAAACCTCACATCAAAGACAGGAAGGAGAATGAAGAAATGTCCAGCAAAAATATCATGTCATAAGAAGCTGCTTTATACCACGTCAAATGATCTAGCTCAGTGTTGTCAACCGAGTCAATAGCTTTCCAGGGCTTTTTTTTCCCTTTCACATGCTACCTTATCTTTTGCAGTTAACTCTGTGACCTTCTTGCAAAGCTGGTGCTGTGCCATTGATATATACTCTGTCCGCAATGGATACTGCCTGCAGACTGAGAGGAGTCAGCGTGGGTTGATCCCTAGCTAAAAAATAAATGGTTAGACGTTAGCTTCTGAAGGTATGAAGACAGATTTATCCTTCCTTAACAGTCTGTATTGTAACTGCTATAGGAATCTCCAATGCCTGAGAAATGAAATTGGCTAAATTATAGTGGTGGAAAGAATTCTTTTCTGCTTCAGCCAGATCATCTGAAGGTCAGAACATCTGGATGGCCAAGGGTTGAGAAATATTGGCAGCCCCTGTGCTCTTTTGTAGTGTCACTGATTTCTTCCTGCTGTTCTGCGCTTTCTCATTGGATTTAGTGTCCCCACACTCTGCATTTTGATTTCTCTTGCCTTTTCATTTTCCAAGCAGTGAAGCATGTGTTGCTTCCTGTACTCCTCCTGCATCTTGGCACCTGGCGTTAACAAAGGAGAAACAGAGCGATACCATCTTAGTGAGTTACTCAAACTTTCCATGAATTACTGTGCTATGTATTCTAAAGGCTTTGGGTTCTTCTTGCCCTACCTTCAGGGTGTTTCAGCCTTCTCTTTAATTTATAGCTAACACTCTTTTACTCTGGTACTCTCTCTGTTTCACTGCCTCTTTTAGAGCACTCCCAGAATACTTGCATCTGAATGAGTACACACTCATTTGTATTTTTTGCAGATAAATTTTACCCTTCAGATAAAAAGGAAGCAAAAGAAAAAATTATGTAGGAAAATGAAACTGTTCAGTATACATAGCTCTTTTCATACTCCTTGTGCTACAAGAATAGAAAGTGCAACTAGTGCTGGGTGTTCAAGCTTAAATGTTGGCTTATCTTCCAGGATTTGTTTCAAATCCCATTTTCACATCCTGGCTAGTCTTATGGTTTGACTTAGCAGTCTGCTGCTATTCATCTCTAGGGTACTGCATCAGCATCAGCCCTGGGCCGATACGGATATTCCTACTCAGTAGAAAAAGTGGCAAAAGGACTCTTCATTGGTTACTTGCCAGTTTTTAGAATGGCTGAATTGCTTAGGGGTTTTGGCACCTAGCTGCAGAGTGAGAAGTTAGGAGTTCAGTTCCCCACTGCTCTTCCTTGACCAGGCCTGGATTTGATGAGCCATAGGGCCCCTTCTAGCTCTGCAATTCTAAGATTACATTATATTATTTTCTCTGGGCTCACTGATTTTCTTTCATAATCCTTTTTGTGCTCCATTCTTCCAAGGTTAAGACAATACCTGCTTTATCCTGCAATCATGTTTACAGGAACTGAGCCACTGGCTGTTAATGAAATTGTGGAACAACAGTCCTAAGAATGGAGTGTGGCTGAACAAGGGTTTGCGGTGATTCAGTCCAGTTAACCTCACTGGGGCTGCAGATAATTTGGATTCGTGGTCCTTCTTTGCAAGGAGGAAGTGGAAACTGCTTGGCACTTTTACTGGTTACGGGAAATTTCCTGGCACTTCATGTGATTTCACTGGAACGCTGAGTGCCTTCCCACAGGCTCCATCAATCAGGTGATAGTTCCATCCGTAGTTTCTTGTAAAAACAGTAGTGACCAAAGGCTCTTTAGGGAAACAGGATCTTCAGTTGACTCATCATTCCATTGAAGACCTTGTCCTTGAAGTTGAACCAGACACTGAAGTTAACTTCTCTCCAACCCCCCAAATTTAACTTCATTTGTTAAGGAATTCCTGACACGTGAAACAAAGATCTCAAAGCTAAACTAAGCTCTTAAGACTATGGGAATGTCAATCCCCTTTTAATAAGAGAGGGGCTGATGTTACACAGAGGCTTGGGGAACCCCTACTCCGTTTGTTGAGAGTGTGTTTAATGACAAAGGAACGCCTTCCGTTCCATCTTGGTTGTTATGCTACTTGGGAGGCTTGCTAGACAGACGGATCCAGGTAGACCTTGCTATTCCAGCAGTAGTTGTGACCGCTATCTATCTGGCTGTAGTTCAAAACTGGTCTGGGTCAAACTCCACAGGAGACTAAAGTTTGCAACACATCATCAGAGATTGGTGTTTAATGTGGCCAGGAGCCTAGCGAATGGGTGCGGACACATAATTCCTGACTAGGTCATGGAGAGTGCATTTCAGTAAGTACCGTATTTTTCGCATCATAAGACACACTTTTCCCCCACAAAACAGGGGGGTGGAAAGTCTGTGCGTCTTATGGAGCGAAGAAAACAGATTATATTTTCCTGTTTTCTTCTCCTAAAAAATTGGTGCGTCTTATGGAAAGGTGCATCTTATGGAGCGAAAAATACGGTATTTCCCAGCAGAGAGACTGTCCTCAGCAATGGACTAGTCTTGGAATGATTTGCAACTGTTAATTATTTCAGTAGCACTGCTCTGCAATTAAAGTTGTGTTTTAGGTCTGAAAATATTGAAGGGGTGCCCTTTAGTAAGTGCCTGAAAATTTACTGGTTTAGCACCAGGGGTTTAATGGCCCTTGGCAAGTTTCCGATATAGCCAGTGCTATCCTTACTGCATCCCACACTATTCAGTCTCTTTATTACTAACAAGCTAGTAAACATAGTAGGTCAAAGGTACAGGTACGATATGTCATAGCATCAGCCCTGTCTTTTGTTTGTTTTTTATGTGGCGTCTGAACTGGCAGTACAGTGTGAAACATTGAACATTTCCAGCTCTGGCTTAGGATTTTTGAGTGACAAGTGAACCAGATATTCGGCGTTTCTTAACAAGTGGGCATTTAGGTGAGGGACACGTTTGTGGACTTGGAGAAACCGAATGGGGAATGCTTCTGGGTTTTTAATTTAAGAGATAAGGGGGGATTAGGCCAAAAGGGGAAGAAGAACTGTGTTACTGACCCAGAAATTCCTTACATGCTTTTCAGAACAAGGAAAAGCCTGTAGGGGCCCCAAGGTTACACAAATGTAAGAGTGGGTGATACCTTTTATTGGACCACTAAAAATCTCACAAATGTTTAGGATAATTACATGGTTGCTGGTTGCAGATGTTGGTCTCTCATTCTTCCCATAGTCCCTGTTAGAGAGCAAGGGTGCTGCCTGGACCTGCATTCGCTCTAATCTTGCAGCTGTGTAAGATTACAAATGTTCTCAATCATAACGAAAGATTTACATAATTAGTCATTGTTATTCTGAACCATAACAGGCATAATTTTCTAAGAGATTTGAGAGATAAAATAGGACATACAGATACGACAAGGATAACAATTTGGTTGAAAAGCACGATCTTAAAAACAGACAAACGGAAAGAATCGGAAAGCCCTTTGCCATGTGCCAAAAAGATAACAGTGTTTGGTGCCTTTGCAAGCCTTCCTGGAAAGGGTTCCAAAGTCAGGGCACCATAACTGAAAATGTTCTCTCCCAAGGTCTTATCTCTCTTTCTCTCCCCTTAGATTTCAAGGATGTACAAAGAAGGACATCAGCCCATGATAGCAGGGGTTGCTTCCAAATGCAATACAGGAAAGGTTAGACAGTTGTAATTTGCATCTCAGCATTCGGTAGCCTCTGAAGCTGCTGAAAGAAATTACAGAGTGCCCACCTAACTAATCATGGTGTGCTTTAATAATTGTGCTGGTAACTACAGTATGGTGTTTACATTCAAGGCCTTTGAAATACAGGAATCTGTGTCATTGTAACTAGCAGTAATTCTTCTGAAAAGCAAGGTGAGTCTCACCACCTGAATTTCACACATGTGGTGGGTCTGTTGACTCAGAAATGACTCAGAAAACCCTTTACGCTCACAAGGCAGCAGTTCAGTGCTGTAGAGAAATTTTAGCCCCTCGTGCTTTCTTCATTGGCTGAAATCCAGTAGTAAGTCACGACCAGAGTAGGCCCAATGAATCAGTGGAGATTTTGTCACGACCAGAGTAGGCCCATTGAATCAGTGGAGATTTGGTGAGTCAACTGCTTTGTAGGTTCCACTGGATTTCTGCCATTGATTTTCTGTTGGCAGGTTGTTTGTGATAGAACATTTTTTTCATGCAAAAAGAAGCGTTGTGACTATTACCAACATGTCCTTTTTTCCAGACCTGTTCTTTAGCTGTCAGCTTGTTTGGACATGTTTAACAATATTAGTTACGGTATTTTTCCATTTATAAGATGCCCCGATGTATAAGACGATCCCCAGTTTTCTAACCCCAAGTTAGAAAATTTGATTGTTGCTTTCCCTGCCACTTCCTAAGCTTGGGGCTTAGCAAAAGGAAGGGGAAAGCAGCAATCAAAGGGCTGCAGGCTTTCCCCCTCTTTTTGCTAAGCCCCGTTGGACTTAGCAAGTGGAGGGGGAAAGCAGCGATCAAGCGCGGTAGGATCGCTTTGATCTCTTCCCCCTCCACTAGTTTTTGTTCTCAGCTTACGTCTGTGTATAAGACGACCCTCAATTTTTAGTCTAAAGATTTTAGACAAAAGTATCATCTTATACATAGAACAATATGGTACATCTGAAACCAAAAACTGTAATTTGATATTTTCAATTCTAATTTGTAGTTTTCTTTTAACAAGACCTACCAGCCTTCTGGTACATATCTGGGTAAGGCGGCTTTACTCTTTCTTTCTCTGACTAGAACTTAAGCTTTTCTACACTGGATAACTGTGTTAATTGATCTTGACAGACTCCATGTGTACAATTAACAACTGCACTAAAATTCTATCCAGTGGCATAAGTGTTGTTTTTAAATTCTGCTGCTGTATTTCTGTGTAGATAACTTCCACTTTTAGGAATGCGTTTTTTTCTAACAGTGACCTGGTGAACAAACAGAATGGAAGTTAACCTGAAAAGCTGGAATTGAGACAATATTGTTAAATCTGAAACTAAAATTGTATGTTACTCTTTTCAAGTTCCTATCCCTACGAAGTACATATGGGTAATTTTTGGGCATACTGAAATCAATATGTGAAGAACAATTTTCGATACCTTCAGTAGGAAATATATGTTGTGAATGGCCATGCCTTAAAATATTTACAGGTATTTTAATAAAAATATCCAAATAAAAGTTCGAGTATGTTATTTTAACTCTATTTTGTATATTAGTTTTTCTGCATACTGAGATACTTCACTTCAACTCCTTTTTTAGCTGTTGGAAAACTTTTTATATATTATTTATTATATGCCATCAAGTTGCTTCTTGATGGCGTACTGTAATAGGGTTTTCAAGGTTTGTGAGATGCTCAAGGAGTGGATTGCTTCTGCTAACTTCCAGGAAACTTCTGTGACCAAGTGAAGATTTAAACCTGTGTCTCCTGGGTCATGATGACTCTTTAATAAGAATAACTGCATTGCCACCAAGTTAGTTCCAACATAAAGTGACCATTTCTAGGTATAAATTATTCGTAAATGGTTTATTATTCCCTTCTGGGGTCACTCTTCTACTGTGCAGCTTGCCCAAGGCTACACAGGCTGGTTCTCCTCCCTGGATAAATACACAGTGTGTAAAATTAATCTGACATATATTGGGTAAACAAAAATTAATTAAACATGCTAAATAATATTTTTCCTTTCGTACCCTCTTAGTCTCTGTTTAGAATAGATGGATGGATAATGGCAGAAAAGATGGTTGCTGCAGATGTTTTAGGTGTCTGTACTAGTAGTATATTTGGGGAGAAGCTTCCATGATCATTTGGTCTCTAGAAGTAAAGAGACAAGAGAAATGGAGATAGAAATGGATAGGTAGATTTGTATGAGTTCGGCACTTGATTATCAAGGGAGTTTATAGAAATTGCCGATGATTTAGTGGGATCAGTTTACAAGGTATCTGATCTTTTAAATCTAGCAGCAGCAGGAATCATGAAACAGTTGTGGCTGGGATTGGAGCATGGGTTACAGTGATTAATATTCATACAAGTGTGCATTGTCTATCGTTTCAGCATCTTTGCCATGTTTTGGAATGTGGGACCTCAGAGATGCGTCTTAGTGCTGCAGCTTTATCTGTTGAATTTTGCCTGCTCTGTGTGGGCTGGCACAGACCTGTCATCACAGCCTTCCATCACAGCAGCCTCCTTCCTGCAGGACCTCTTCCTCCGCTATGGGGAAAATGACAGACTCAGTCTACAACAGCTTAAATCCCTCTTGAACCACTTTGATGTGGGTGTCGGACACAACAACATCAGTCACACGGAGCAGCAGCACCGGAACCTGTCTTGGGTAATTTAAGATGTTTATTTAAGACACATCCCCCTGTTTTTTTTTTGTTTTTTTCCTAAATGGGGCCAAAAAGCATCTTGCAGAAATTAAAATCTTAGCTTTCATAAACACACAACAGAAAAAAGATATTAAAACATCTTTTTTTTAAATGCATTTTTAAAATTCCCCAAACAAAAGATCAGCACATTATTTTGTTCAATTGAACTTGAAAGCTAACAATTCTTAAAGTTACAAAGACTCGTACGATGAGTATCCTGAACAAAAGTCATTATGGACAGAAGGAGCTGAAGGTATTAGTCTCTCAGGCGACCTGGGCGAATGAGACCTCTCTCTGCTGCCTCCTGATGGAACAGGTGACAGATGAAGGAAGGAGGAAGACAATGGAGATGGCTTCAGTTTCCTCAATCAAATCATGACCCAGTCAATGCTAGAATAAAACCTCCACTGTAACCAGGGATGAGGCAACCTCCGATGCAAGACACCACCTTAAATAAATTGAGATGGATGTTACCCACATTGCATCTCCCTTTCTGCCACAGTCTGTTGTGTAATCCACTTTGGATTGGGTTAGAAAATCACTCAGCTGCTGAAGCTGTTTCAGAGGCTGTAGAGTTACAGTTTGTTACAATGAACTTGGCTTGAGGGTCCTCTTGGGAAAAAATACCCAGGAGCTACGACATGTCCAGAATCTGAGTGCACATATGACAAATTATGGGGTGGCTGAGGGCCAGAATGCTGCACGGATTTGTAGGTTATGTGAAAGTGGTTGTGTGAATTGGCTGTTTTCCCTCTGGGAAGAAAAGGAAATGATATTGCCGAGATGGTGAGGGATGGAGATGAGACGCAAGGAATTTTATGTGGGCTCTAGGAGGTATAGATAGAAAACCTTGGGGTGTTTAAGCTAAGAGAAGTGTGTAACACAATCTCAACTTGTGTTTGTGTTGTATAGTGCTTTAGTTCCTCGGAGCTTTTTGCCGCCCACAATCTGAGTGAAGAGTCGCACCTTGGCCACAGTGAATTTCAGCAGTTCTGCCCAACTATCCTACAGCAGCTGGAGTCAAGAGCATGCATGTCAGAGAATCTTGAGAATGAGGAGGATGAGCGGACGGAAGAGGGGAAGCCAAGCGCTACAGAAGGTGTGTAGCCAAAATGACTACCTCAGAGTCTTAAGAGCTTTTGAAGTACACCCTACCTGAGAAATTTCTCTAAGTTGCAGGAATGGGTGGCAGTCTGAACTATGAATTGTAGGTTTTATTTTCCAGCTGCAGACAGATGTGTGCCCATAAGTTCTGCCTTCATTACCATGTAATGACTAGAGGAAGCAAGTCTGGGGATAGGGCAGTATCTTCTGAGCCTATGGGATGTGTAGCTTTTCTCTTCAGCTATTTTTCCCCCAAGCATCACCCTTTCCATGCCCTACTGCCAGAGTGGTAGGTAGATAAATAAAAAGCTACTTCTCTCTAACAATAAAACCCTCTTAACTGGCTGCAGGAAATGTAGTGGGAGCAATGAGCTGAGACCAAAATCCTTTGGGCTCCTAGAAAAATACATCAAGCAAACAAAAACCCAGACACTGAGTCAGTGGAACGATGACAGGATCAGCCTTGGATTCTTTGGTTCTTTTTTCAGTCTCGCATATTATATACTGCACCATATACGTAGCAGTCTTGCCACTACTCTGAGTTTGCATATCTGTCTATAGGAGCTTTCACAGATTTGCCCAGTAAGAATAGATTTCTGTGTTGCATATGCCAGATAATGTGAGACAACCCTGAACTCCTCCATAAAAATTGTTGCAGCCTGGACGCAAGTAGGAGATTATTACCGCTTCTCACTTGTGGCTTTGTTTATTTTTTAAATAACTAAAATTGATTTATTTTTAAATAAATAAGTAAAGTGAGCTAAAGTGTAGTAAAGCAGATAGAAATCTGCAGCTACCAGATGCCTCGGCCAGCACAACTGGGGTTGAAGGCTTCTTGGCATTATAATCCAAGAATACCTGGAGTCGTCATCATCTTAGAACTGCAGAGATGGAAGGGACCCTATGGATAATTGATTGAGTCAGGGAGGTACAGTGAGGAATCAAACTCCCAGCCTCTGCCTCTTCAACCAGATGCCTAAACCACTCACCTACCCAGCCATTCATAAGAAAAACACTCTGGTATGTTTTAACTTTGTCCCAGGTGATTGAGCAGTCAGTGAAGCTGATCTGTCTCAGTGCTTCTCAGCCTTGGGTGACCCGGGCATTCTTGGTCTGCAACACCCAGAAACCTGAGCCAGCACAGTTAGTGGTGAAGATTTCTCGGAATTGCAATCCAAGAACACCTGGATTGCCCAGGATTGGGAATTACTGATCTATATAATGGACCAAGGGATTTATAGATGAAGGACAGTTGGGGAATATTTCATGCTGCAGAGAGCACAGTTCCTGCATGGTTTCAGAAAGCAGAGCAGATGTCAGTTCAAATGGATGGCTTGTCATGGTCAAGGGTGCCTGCTTTCCACACTGTCTAACAGAGAAGGATAAGGATGAGTGTGGCCTGGAAAATTGCATCTAGAGTTAATGAACAATAGGGATTTGACGCCTTTTGTTCAATCTTTATCCAGATGTTACACAACCAGTGGTCGTGGCAGCCCTCATACAGCAATGTCGCTGTTTGACGCCACTGCTATAAAGCATGGAAGCATGGCAGGTGGAACATACTGGGTGTTAACTCTGAGTAGCCATGTTGAATTGCACAGCACAGTTAGTGGAGGAGCTCAAACAAGTTGCTGTTGCATGTGGGACAGGAGAAAGAGCATAAAATGCTGTATTCTAACACTATACCCACACAAATAACAAACCTGCAGTTCTACTTCTATCATCCTTCACCATTGGTCAGTCTGTCTGGGGCTGATGGGAGCTGGTGTTCAACAACACCTAGAAGGCCACAGAGTCCTTAGCCCTGTTATATACAGAAAATGAAAAACTTTGTGTTGATGAGGTTGTGTTCTCCCCCAGCAAGGTGGGTATTAGGAGAGAAGTAAACAACTGTACAGTTTTTACCAGATCACAATATAAACATGAATGGATAATGTGTAGGGGTGTTTTTTTTAGCAAAAGGTTTTTGAACCTGCAGGGTTTTCTTGAACAAAAATAGGAAAGGAAAGGGGGAACAAGGCACAGCTTGGAAACATAAACACGGCTGAACAACATTTCTGTTTTCTTCAAAACCTTCTTGGGGATAGTGATGCTTTTGTCTGGATATTGTGTTCAGATTTTTAAAAGCAACAGACAAATTGGAACTTACATCAATGAAGAGTAATAAAATGAAGCTTCTATCTAGGGTACTGATGAGGTGAATGAACAGTTCACTTAACATGCTGTTCATAGAAGATCTGGACTAGTGCACCAATTCTAGGTTTGATTGGTGGAGTTTTGTTGCTTGTTAGAGGGATTTGCTGCCCTGGGATATTCAATCCAACGACTGAACATATATATGACTCTGGAGGGCCTCTGCTTTTGGCTCCTTGGTGCATGTACTTTAAAAGCACACATGTGTATGAAAACATACAGTAATTTATTGCATGGCACTTTATTATCATGTGCATGCTAGTTTTTTTGTAAATTTAATCTGCAGGGAGGTATTCCTTCTATATTCCTCTGTTTGCAGAGGGGTTTCAACCCATTACCTTCTGTGTAGTGCACAGGTGAACTTACATAGGCCCATGTATTCAGCTAGGGACACACAACATGTTGCTGCTGTGGCACGCAAGTATTGGTGGACTGTGATAAAACTAGATAAGTAGGATGTCTGCCTTTGCATAAGAAAGCAGCAGCTCTTTCTGAGAGTTCCTTCTGAAATTCTCATTGAGATGATGGGACATTGAGGTCTGAGTCTTCCACACAGATTCAGTATGCATCAGTGACCCAGAGGGAGGAATGGAGATTTTACCCTACCTTCTGGGAAGTCTGTGCACCCAGTCTTTAAATGGGGGACGGAACAGGACTGTCTCAGAATTTGTGTACTGCATAAAGTCCCACGTACACACACGAGCTGCAAAGACACCCTAAGCAGTCTGGTTCTAAAGAATCTGCTGTATTGTGGACACTTCAGAAAATAAAGGAATTGGCATTATTCTATGAATGCTTTTCGGCTATTGACGTTGTCCTAGCAGGAGCTTCCTTTGTGCCAGCCACAAATGAAACCCGTGATTTGGAAATTTAGCTCTGTAGTTAATGAACAACACCAAGCTGACACCATTTTTTTTTGGTTAAAAAAAGGTTAATGCAAATTGCTTTTTCCCTTCCAGTGGACTATGGCAAATGTAAACTGTTACTTTCTAAATGAACCAAAGAACACCTTTACTGACATAATCTGTAAAGTAATGTGTTTTTGCAAAAACAGCTTTGCCTTATGCTTATACCTCATCTTATCAAGCTACCTGGAACCCATAACCACATATCCTGGTGCTCTCCTGTTATGTTTTCAACTTATTGTGTGTGACAAGCATAGTAGTAATTAGACACCCCCTAGAAGACCCATGGACTAAGTGGAAAAACTAAAAGTCTTTCCAGTTTCATGGGATCTCGAGGCCCCCTTCCTGTTTTCACCGTTAACTGGGTAAACTTGCCCTCCTTTCTTCTTATTTCACAGTGTGGGGCTTTGGATTTCTCAGCGTTTCGCTGATAAACCTGGCCTCCCTCCTTGGAGTCTTCATCGTGCCCTGCACCAAGAAGGCCTTTTTCGCCCGAATCCTAACTTATTTCATCGCGCTCTCCATCGGGACGTTGTTCTCTAATGCACTGTTCCAGCTGATCCCAGAGGTGCAGTAAGATACTCCCAAACCCACATGCTTACGCCTTTTCTCACAATCACTCCCCCTCCCCTTTTTTCCCCCTTTGTAGTATGTTGCCGGGTTCTCCGCTTAGTGCCTAGTAGGCTGCTGTCAGTTGATGAGACTTTTTTCTTCTTCTTTCCCTTTGACTTTGGAGGGTTGACTTTCCCTTCAAATCATCAAATTCCTTCCTCCGTTTGTGGTCTGTGTGCAAAGCACTTATGTGGCTTTTGTGTTTCTGCAGAAGCACACGTTGGGAACTTTACAGAACGAAAGTCTGGGAGTCCCTTCCTGCTTTCTATCCTGAAGGACAGACGTTTACCTTTTTTTTTTGGCTGAGCCCTTCTTTCATGTTATTCACACAATCGTATAAAAGCGCCGTTGTGACTCTTATGCTGCCAAGTTCTCAAAGAATTTTGCCTCTTGACTTCTTTTCCAATATAAGTGAGAACTGATCACTGGGAATTATGCAGAACATTAGAGAGAGCGCCTTTTTTTCTAGTTATTTTGACTAGCTTAACATGCTACTTGAAGATTTTGAGAGGGCACCATCCCTGAAACTGGAGAGAATCCTACCCTTTAGCCTTACCTTGCTAGGTAAATTGAAAGACTGCCTGGAATAACTGAGACGAAGCAGTGCATGTCCATCAAGATGTAAGTGAGGGCTGAGGCTTTTTAGCTTTTATATTCTTTTACTGGCTGGACGGATAGCAGTAGAGGAGAAACAAGGAAGGAAGGTACACCATACAGGCATCTACCTATACATGGGCAAGATATATTTTATGCTGAAATCCTAGGTTTCTTCTTCACTCTTTGATCAGCAACGAGTCTATTTTTTTTAAAAAAAGATGCATTTTATTATTACTATGATATGCTTTGTCTGAATTAATGTACAGTGAATTTTTGTTCAATTATGCATCCGGGGAGCTGCTTGAATAGAACCATGAACTTTACTTCCTGGTTTTTGACATCTGTATCTGAAATGACTTCTCAATTTGGCCCAGGTGTAAAAAATTTGGAACTTCAAGGCTACTTTTGCAGCCTGACCACCTCACCAAACTGAATTCTCTCACTGGAAGAACTAAAGGGAGACATCTGTTCATCTTATCCTTTTGCAATCTATGCAACAGCCTTTTTTTCCTGCCAGTTCGTGCCTATCCAGGACACTGGTTCATGTCATCCCTTTTTTAGAGTAAAGTTCATGGTATTTTCAGCTCCAAAACTGTAATAAGGGGGTGGGGATTTTGCTGCTTGAAAAACAGAAATGTTTTTTTGTGATTGAGCAGAAACAGAAATAATTACCTATGCTTCATTTCCATGGTCTGAGGCCTGCCCTGTAAGAATCACTGAAGTGAGACTGTGCCATTCAGTCAGTAGCTGTTTTCATTAGACAACAGAGATTCTGGTCCTTTGACTGCCTGGACATAAGGCCGTAGTGCCCCAGGAGAGAAGGTCTCTCTGGCCACGCAACAGATCATGGAGATGGAGTATCTGGGATGCTGGGAGTATCCCTGGGGTGTTCCTCGTGGCTGTGGAACTCTGGCAAGGAGACCGTGTGCTGCAAAAAGGAAGGCTGTGTGCAGTGAGTGGACTGAAGAGTGCAGCCCCACCAACCGTCTGAAGGCTGCAGACCTAAATACTGGAGCGCGTGCATGAAGGCAGCCTTGCAAGTATTTCTTCCACTCCGACAGGCTCTCTTTCATGCACAGATGCAGATTCAGCCATGCAACTGTTGGCATGAGCATGCCCGAGGGGGTGAAATGCTGCACAGTTTGCTGCATGTGCTCCTAAAAGATGAATTGGTGGGAGGGGGTTTGGCTTCTGTGTTTCGTTTACTTAAAGTCTGAAGCCCTGTTGCTGGCATTCATCTTGTGCCTGCTCAGGGGACGTTTTGCTGTGAATGTAATGTGATGTCCTTACAAGGAGGTACACATGATTACAGAGTACGGATCATTTATTGGGAAGCTGTTAAGAAGACTCTTGGCTAGGAAGAACATGGGAGAGATGTCATGAAGTCTCTGTAGAAAGTGCTGGCCTGAAGGAGAGAGTCTTTTCCTTTCCATTTCAGAGATAGCTGCCGACCATCCCATGTTTTAGAGACACCAAATTGCATTTGCTTTTCTCCATCGTTGTATTTGCCAGAGTTCCAGAGCCACAGTGCCCGAGAGTGCTTCCCGCATGCCTGAATCAGTTGCAAATTGAATGTTGATTGCTAATAAATGTACTATTTTTCTCTCTCCCCCCCGCCCCTCTTCTGGCTCCCCCTCCTCTCTCTTTCTGTCTCATTGGTGTGAATTGACTTCTGTGCTGTGATTTCATCTCCTGTGCTTGGCTTCTTGTTCTACCTGTGGTTTCATGGGGATGGGGTTGGCACTCACAACACAGTCTGGGGCTACGGTTTCCTCTGTGTGACCGTCATCTCCCTCTGCTCCCTGGTCGGGGCCAGTGTGGTGCCTTTCATGAAGAAGACCTTTTACAAGCGGCTGCTCCTCTACTTCATAGCCCTGGCAATTGGTACTCTCTACTCCAACGCCCTCTTCCAGCTTATTCCCGAGGTATGACCAAGGCCTCTGAGCCTTCCTCATGTGGCTCTCTGTTTTCTTGCCATCTGTGATGTAAGAAAGAAAGCCGGGTGTGATTCTTAGTCACTTTCAGTGGCCTTTATTTGTGTCTAGAATGGAAAGGACTCAAGCACAGACAGAGCCCTGAGAAATTATTTTATCCCTCTGGCCATAATCTCACCAGTGTGTTGTTACAGTTGGAACTTGACCAACATTGTGTGCTGTTTCCCTGGCTCTGTGCTCTTTAGGTATTTAATATCACATAGAGTTTAAAATGCCTTGGACGTTGACTTCAGACCTTAATTTGCCACCAGCTAAAACAAAGAGAATGTTTTGTTTTGAGAGGTCTGTGTTGATCTCATGCTCTAAAGGGCAGGGATGCTGTGCTGGGTACACAAGGCACAAGTCAGCTGTGCAGCCTTACAAGCATGAATAGAAATAATCCCAAAAGGCAGTTCCAGGCAACAAATACATGCAAAGTAGGGAGGTAATTTTCCTTAAAACAGCCTGAGCATGGTGGGTAAGCAAGGTAGTCATCAGTGAGAAACAGCTATCCTCACACATTCCTGCAGGTCTTCTGTAGGTGGATAAGCCAAAAATATTAAAGATATATTATATTTATTTATTTATTTAACTTATATGCCCCCCACACTACCCAAAGGTCTCTGAACTGTCTTCATCCTGCACAACAGGAGTGGAAAAAAAAAGTACCGTGTTTCTCCAAAAATAAGACATGGTCTTATATTAATTTTTGCTCCGAAAACACATTAGGGATTATTTTCAGGGGATGTTTCATTTTACAATCATGTCATTTTCTGGTTGCCGCACAATGCTGCACAAGGGTGGAAGGTGGGGTTTTACTTAACTAGGGCTTATTTTGGAGGTAGGGCTTATATTACAAGCATTCAGAAAATTCCTACTAGGGCTTATTTTCAGGTTAGGTCTTGTTTTTGGGGAAACAGGGTAAGAACTTGCCAGTTGTTCTGTAATGCATTTAAAGTGAAGCCATCCTAAGCAATAAAAATATATGGGGTCTGGCACGTGTCTTTCGTGGTACAGCATAAAGTCGTAGACTTGCATTCAGTGGCAAATTAGTTTTGGTGGCATAACACACTTGGTCTTAAGCTAGTTGGGATACAGACTCTTTTCCTGACAAATGACACACCTGCTTTAGAAAACAAATAGAGAATTTTTTCCCACTCTACCCAAGTGTGCAATTTGACACAAGCCCCACTTCTCATTGAAATGGAAGCCTGTTTAGGCTGTGCCACTTCATTCAGCAGGTATGGACTCACAAGTTTGAATGTTTAAAATTAAATATATACTAAAACAACAGCCGCATTGCATGTAGAAGAGTGGTGTGTCAGAAAGAAAGTTTCTAGTGCAGCGTTTTTTGACATGCTTTGCACACAGAAGGAATATACTCCTATTTGACATGTTTTGCACACAGAAGGAATATACTCTTATGTGAAGCATTGAACAATTATTTTAGAACATTTTTAGCTTGTCTGTCTAGTGAATTCTCAATGCTGTGTACTGTTAAAAAGAGTAAACTAAATGACAGGCAAAACAAGCAGTCCATATAATAAGATTGTCTCATGAGCTATAACCCAGATACAGATTTACTACTGTAGTAATATGCATTTAGGGTACTTGCAGCCGCCCACCCTCAAGAAATACTTTTGTTGGTGAAGTAATAAGTTTTCACATTCTGCACAGTTTCTTACTTACGGCTTCTTGTGCATTCCTTTGAAAACGGCAAAAAAGGGCACTTGAGATTGGAGAGGGAGGAAATAGGTAGGAATCTTGTAAGCGGAACATCGTTCGTTATGTGCTTCACTAACTTGTTTCCACCCATGTCCACAGGCATTTGGATTCAATCCTCAGGAAGATTACTATGTTTTCAAATCAGCGGTTGTCTTCGGGGGCTTTTACCTGTTCTTTTTCACAGAGAAGATCCTGAAGATGCTTCTCAAGCAGAAAGACAGGGTAAGGCAGGCAATCTCCAAGGTCATTGGTCATATTTCCTCTGACAAGGTCTGGCCTCTCTTGCTGTTGAACTATGTTGGGTCCTAATCTTCTGCTCCTTTCTTCTAAGCAAGCCCTTGCGCGCTGGTTGTCATTAAATATAATTTTGTAGTAAGGAGAGCAAGTGAAGTCTTGGGGAACAGATGACTAAAGACAGCAAGGTCGGTGTCTCCCCCTCTAAATCTAGAGGAAAATCTCAGCAGTCTTGCAAAGTTTTTATATAGCGAGAACCTGCCCACACATTGATTTGTCTGCTGAGGAGTCTTGAGGCTGCCAAATGTTTTTCCTGCACGTTACAGATTATCCTGGCACAGGTCTTTGGGAATATACTTGAATGTGATACTGTCGTACTTAGTATCCTAGTATACAGTATGTCCAGTACTCTCCCCATGCCTATGAGTTTCAGGACGCTATCTGTATCCGGCTGTCTGATCAGGCAGGTTTATCTGCCATTGCCAATCTCTTAGGGAAGTCCTGATAAGTGTATTAAGGAAGTTGAAGGTTCCCTGAAATGCACGTTATGAAAAACACTTGTGAAGGACCAGTAGCTCCAAGTAATGGAGACCATATCCTAGCTGCTAATCCCAGCTTGATTCGCCATTTTATTTCTTCCCTGTGTCTTTATTGTTTTGCTCCCAGTCAAGATGATAGAAACTGTATTTTAAGGCAGAATTATTGCTGTCCCTTTCCGACAATGGGCGCTGCCGGATGCAGATTCAACCTACCTCTAGCAGTCTCTTCCCCTGTGTTTAGGGCCGGGCAACCTCCCGATGTCCGTGGGCCACCCTTGGGCCCACTCCTGTACTCTGCTGATCCTTTCAAATAGTTCTCTTTTTTAAAAGGCTTTTTGAACTGGAAAAGCCCTGCATGACCTGGAATGGCTACATTTTCCCCCTAATTTACAGTGAACATAAAATAAAACTTTAAAAGTAAAAAAAAATGTAAGGTCAAATATGCTGCTTTTTCCCCAGAACATGGCAGAAATCCCTCTTATGGCACATGGTGTTTTTTTTTTTTTTAAAGAATATTTAAGATGTAAAAATGGGAGTCTGGAGGCTGCATGTAAGCCGCTCTTTGCCCATCTCTGCCTTATGTGTGCAGCTGGATGTGTCCATGGGTGCTGTTATGCATAGCACATAGGCTGGACCCTGCCCATTGATTTCAATTTCTAGCTTGTCTCCTTTAAAATGCTTGGTACTGATAAGAACAGTTTGAAAGCAAATACAGACTGTGGCATTAACGTTAAAGCAGCTGAGCAAACTGCACTAACAGATACTGCACGGAACAGTCAACAGGAATTTTGCAAAGAAATATCTTGGGAACAAAATGGCTGTGTGTCCCACTGTGCACACAGATGAAAGGTAATAAAACTGCTTCCCAGTTCTTGGACTTATGAAAAAAGTCCTTGAGAACAGTTTCTTTGCACCTGAGTTAACCAGGTCTTCTGTGTGTCACCAGGCATAGATGGTTATATTTTAATAGCAGAAGGATAAATGGCAGAGTGTTCCAAACAGTTGTGAGCTGAGAACTATCAAAACTTGGCAGATAAATGCTTTGTGGCTGAGATAGGAAAGTGACTAAAGAACTATAAAAGTTTGTGATCTGTCGTTCTATGAACAATAGATGAAGGAATAGCATGAGGAACTGCAGTAACGTACAGTGGGGAGTACATCTGAACAATGCCTGCATAGTATAGGTCAAAGTATTACTTGCTAAAGCTACCTCTGTTCTCCCCAGCATGCTCATGGGCACAGTCACTACAGCACAGAGACCCTTCCTTCCAAGAAGGACCAAGAGGAGGGGGTGACAGAAAAACTTCAGAATGGCGACCTGGATCATATGATCCCCACTAAGAGCAGCAGTCTGGAATGCAAGAACCCTTCTGTTGAAGAGAAGGTTGTTAGCTCTTTATCTGTCCAGGTCAGTGGATATTAACAGTGTGCGAAATGGATTGTTCGGTGTTTCCTGGAGAGAGAGCTTGTAGATGTTCGGCTTAGGAATGCAGTTCTTAGAGCGTTGCCTTGCTTGATAAAGAGGCCTCGTTGCCTCCTGTATGTGTTTGGCCTATCGGTCATAACACTCCTGCTTTAGAATCATAGCTAGGCCAGTTCTCTCTAAGTAAGAGAGAAATCTGGTTAATGTTACTCATAGTTGGCTCCAATCCAGACTTAGTGCTAGACTATAGTTAAAACAAAACCAAAAATCATCCACTAGGCTGTGGAACCAGGTTTTCAAGTTTGTTTGCAACCCCTGATGAAGGGTGAATTCTGGTTAATATTAATCATGTTCAGTGTTGTTGCAAACCAAATGCTGCACTATTGTCAAAATAAGTTATGGAAGGAAGAAGGGGAAGTTCATGCAGGAAAGAGGATGGGGGATAGAGATAGCTGATAGCATGATCCCCTTAGATCATCTTTGTCTCCTAAACTGGTCTTTGTCAACCTAGTGCTCTTTAGGTCACTTGGACTACAACTTCTCCCTAACCCTAGCAGGTACGGCTAATGGTGAAAAATAATAGGATTTGTAATGGTGGGGACGTGGTGGCGCTGTGGGCTAAACCGCAGAAGCCTGTGCTGCAGGGTCAGAAGACCAAGCAGTCGTAAGATCGAATCCACGCGACGGAGTGAGCGTCCGTTGCTTGTCCCAGCTCCCGCCAACCTAGCGGTTCGAAAGCATGCAAATGCGAGTAGATAAATAGGTACCATCTCGGTGGGAAGGTAAACAGCGTTCCGTGTCTAAATCACCCTGGCCATGTGACCACGGAAAGATTGTCTTCGGACAAACGCTGGCTCTATGGCTTGAAGAGTGGGATGAGCGCCGCCCCCTAGAGTCGGACACAACTGGACAAAAATTGTCAAGGGGAACCTTTACCTTTTACCTAATCTGGAATATCTGTAGAGCCCTAGGTTGGAGAAGCCCCAAAGCCTGTTTGGGAAAATTACATCTTCCATGGGCTTCAGTTGCTGGCATGAGAAGAAGAAATAAATGCATTTCTTGCCCTTCAGTGGTCTGTTGCTACAGAGGGAGATTGATATATGAACAGTTTGCAGGTGGTGGGTTTGCAGTGGTGCTCTGGTGAGATACAGAGAATAGTAGCGAAAGTAATACCGGGTAAGCTGCTCTTCTGCCTGCCTTGAGGTTGGCCCAGTCAAATGAGTTTGGAAGCTTCTTTACATTTCATGGCTGTTGGTTAATTCCTGGTGTACCTTCTCAGCTTCTTTCTACGTGCTTTAGCATCTCCTATCATAAGACGCAGGGACTGTAGCAAGGAAAAGTGGCCATGTGTACCATAAGACGCAGGGACTGTCGACTGTAGCAAGGAAAAGTGGCCATGTGTACACAGGTTCTCATGGAGGATCCATTCAAGAAGGTTGGCCCTTCCGGCGATCCACTGCACAAGAGGAGGTTGTGTGGTTTCCAGCACTGATCTGCTGCCTTGTATGTTCCTTTTCAATGTTCCTCTGTAGGATCTCCAGGCTTCTCAAAGCACATGCTACTGGCTGAAAGGTGTGCGCTACTCGGACATCGGCACCCTAGCCTGGATGATCACCCTGAGTGATGGCCTTCACAATTTCATTGACGGTTTGGCCATCGGCGCCTCCTTCACTGTGTCAGTCTTTCAAGGGATCAGCACCTCTGTGGCCATTCTTTGTGAGGAATTTCCCCATGAGCTGGGTAAGTGTTCCAAAATGATGCACTAGAATTCCCTTGAAGTCTGCTGGATAAGAAGCAGGTGCACAGGTATCCTCACTGCAGTCTTTGCTCAGGTACAAATAAAGCCACAGCCAAAAAGATCAGGACTCTGTACCTTGAACGGAATGTGGCCAAAGTTTCTCAAGGTACTTAGGACACGGAGGAAAGGCGACTAAAGGTGAACATGATAGAAAAGTGTCTCTTCCTCTCCTAATAGTGGTGCCCAGGATCATTCATCTGAAATTCATTATCCAGTGCAGTTTCTTTATGGAATTCAGTTCCACAAACTTTGTGAGGGCCACTAGCTTGTAATTTTAAAGGAGGCTTAGCAGGGTGGATAAAAATCAATGGTTTTTCAAAATCAAATTGATTTAAATTATGATTTAAAATGTTAAAACAATGTTGTTTATTTAAATCATCAAAGAAGTCTGATTTTTTAAAAAATTAAATCCTGATTTAAGTAACGATTTAAATGAGTTTGATTTAAATCAAGTCCACCCTGGGGATTAAGTTAATGGAGGAGAATCTATGGTCATACTGGTCTGTAACAGTTAGCCAGAATTTCAAAGATTCTAGCTTCTAGTTTGCACTGCCTGTTAGTTCCTGCTCGCTTCGTCCTATGACTAGGAAGAATGGAAGTTAGCAGAAGCTAAGAAGGGAACAACTGGATATGGAACAATTGATTGGTTCAAAATTGGGAAAGGAGTATGACAAGGCTGTATATTGTCTCCCTGCGTATTTAACTTATATGCAGAATACATTATGCGAAAGGCAGGACTGGATGAATCCCGAGCCAGAATTAAGATTGCTGGAAGAAATATCAACAGCCTCAGATATGCAGATGATCACACTCTGATGGCAGAAAGCGAGGAGGAATTAAAGAACCTCTTAATGAGGGTGAAAGAGGAGAGCGCAAAAAATGGTCTGAAGCAGTGCATCGTGGCCTCTCCCAATTTGAAGAGACCCTTGTCCAGCAGGCTGAGGCAAAGAGGCAGTCCCGAAACCAGAAAAATCAGGGAGCTGGACAGGGACAGATTGTATTTGTCTTCAGTGTGGAAGGGATGGTCACTCTCAAATTGGCCTTCTCAGCCATACTAGACGCCATTCCAAGTTCTCCATACAGAGCACATTACTATAGTCTCTCGAGACTGAAGGATGCCTAATCAGTATATAGTAAGGTGCACTGAAGTAAGCCCATTGAAACTGGGGATTTGGTGAGTCAGCTCTAAGTTCCATTGATTCTGTTGTAACTATCCCTTTAGTATTGTAAGTCAGCTAGAATAGCCCTATTTGAATCAATGCAGCCTACTCAACAGATCCCCACTGATTCTGTGGGCCTACTCTACTGCACCTTACTACATTAACCAACAGGATTTTAGCCATTGATTGGAAAAACTGTGCTTGAACCCCAATTTTTCTAACATCGTGCACGCTTCCTTTTGTGCATCTTCTGTGTTGCCCTTTGCCCTGCAGGAGACTTTGTGATTTTGCTGAATGCCGGGATGACGATCCAGCAAGCCCTCTTCTTCAACTTCATCTCAGCTTGCTGTTGCTACCTGGGGCTGGCTTTTGGGATATTGGCTGGAAGCCACTTCTCTGCCAACTGGATCTTCGCTCTAGCTGGTGGCATGTTTCTCTACATTGCACTGGCCGATATGGTAAGTAGTAGACAGATGTGGAAAGTGGCCAAAGAAGTGATTTGCCCACAATACTGTATATATCACACAGAACTGTGCTGTGCCAGAGGTGGGGCTTGTGTTTCCTGCCCCCTCCTACAGAATTTTGGTAGCAAATCCCTTCCATTTTAAAAAAAGTTTTCTGGGGAGGCATTGCGGACCATGTTCTGCAGAATTGAGACTATGGGATTGAATCTGGCTTGCTGAAAATTTTTTAGCAAAAACTTAAAGTTAACAGTTCTGTTCCTCTGCAAAAATGATGATGACAAGGGAAAATAAGTAGGAATGTTTAGAAATATCAGGAATCTTGGAGGCCTCCGCCAGGTTGGGACGTTTTATTTTTCATAGTCACATTTCCTCGAAATAGCTTTTGTCCCAGCCATGCTTTGTTCTCACTCTTTCCATGAGTCCTTGACAGTATCGTTTCTGTGTGAGGTAGACAAGATGCTCCACCTCCAAAATTCCACACATAGGAGCTTTCTTTGGCCCTGGCAAAAGAACTGAGAGTCCATCACCACAACTGAGGGCAATTGGATGGCTTCGTGGGTGCAAGACTGGCTCAATGGCACACAAGAGCTATAAACGAATAGAATGTCTTGGGCAGCAGCTTCTGCAGGCCCCTCCTGTACAGCTCAATGCCTATTGCCTCACTTTGCCTAATTTTAGGGCTGGGATTGTTTTCCTTACTCCCTTCCAGATCTAGTCCTGGTTGAAAACTGAAACATGGCATCAGAATAAAAAGAGACTTTTTGATTGGTGTTCGGTTAAGAGCCTGGCTTTATTCTGAGCTGAAAATTTGACCCTCTTTGATCCTACTATGGTCTTGCAGACGTTTCAGGTTCCATACTAGTGAGTTAGCAATCAAACTTAGTGTCCAGAGAGGTTCCAGTTTAGGAGCATAGCTAAATACAGTGGAGCAGATACTTTGCTTACAATAAGAAACAGATTCAGTTCTTAGCATGGCCAGTTAAAGTTGTTAAGTAACAGATAACTGGGAAAAAAAACCTTTCTCTGCCTCAAGCCCTGGAAAGCTACAGCCAACCAGAGAAGATGATACCAGGCTGGACTGTCAAGTATTTGGAACTGGATAATTCACACCCCAGCTCTTTGCGAGCCATTGGTCATGCTTATCTGCTCCTTGCTAGTCCCACGCTCGGTTGATTCTTTTCCTTCAGAGCCCTTCCAAACTGGAGAAATGTCTTAGCTTCTTCCATTCGTGAGAGTTTCAGCTCTGCAATCTGGAAACTTGAATTCAACTGCCAATTCCTGTTCTGGACAAATATTTGGAGGTTTTTCGTGTGGTAGGATGGATGGCTAGTCTTTGAAAGCTCCTCCCTTGTAGCTGCCCTTCTCTTTCTACATTTATTTGGGTTCTGTTACTGCTGCCTTATTTGTTTATTTATACTTTTTGTACCTTGTTCTTCAAGAGGACCTAGTGTGGCTCATAATGTTAAAAACAAAAAAAAAATATAAAAATGGAAGGGGAGTAGAAAACCAAACAATATATTTGTGTGTGTTACAGTTCTGCTTCAACCTATTGTATGGCTACTTCCCTCCAGATGGTATGCAACTGTGTCATCTTTTGTAGTTGTCTGATCCTCTGTTTTTATAATGAATGGTCAGTATCTTGTTCTATAGCTCTGCTAGTGTAGTGAGAGTAATGTCACCACCAACCGCAAATTGCCAAATTGGTCAATGTTAATCATGTGACATTGCACATTTGCTTGTGTTTCTAGAAAACCACTGGCGGTGGAACTCTACATTTTCTGTAATTGCATCTCCAGGTCTCATTCTGAAACTATCAGAATTGTGAAGTTTTTTGTTTTTTTTTAACAGTGAACGTGACCCTAATCCAGCTAAACTTGTAGCTAAATTGAATCCATGCCATTAGGACAGAATTACTTGTTGCTATTTAAATTTAATTCCTGGCTCCTAACAAATGTTTTTATTCAGCCCTAAGTAAACAGAAGACTTAATTAGTACATTCCAAATCATTGTAGCATTCTGCATTGGGGGAGGGGAATGGTTTGCCGGTTTGATAATCTCAATTTTTTTTTTGTCCAATAAGTTTCCAGAGATGAATGAAGTCAGCAGAGAAGATGAAAGAAGTGGCAGTGCTTTGATGGCCTTTGCTATCCAGAACGCGGGACTGCTAACAGGATTCACCATCATGCTGCTGCTCACTATGTACTCGGGACAGATCCAGCTTGGATAGAGACATGCTAGCTGCAGGTATACGGACTGTGAAAAGCACAGCATCCCACCAAGGATTACAGAAAGAGGCATGTTTCTTTAAGCCTGCTTCATGAACTTCTCGTTGACTGACATGCTGTGTGACTCTAAACTCCTCATTGTAGGATGAAGTGGCCTAGGAACCATTTCTTAGTATAGCAACAACATCCCTCGTTTTTTTTCCTCCTTTGCCTTCAGGTGGAGTCTAGGAAGAAAAGGGTTCCAGTTTCCTTTTGTCTTCTTACTCAGCCAGAGGTGTTTGAATGCACACACCCTTGGGGAGGGGTACAGGATTTGTGCTGGTGGTTTGGGAGCCCCGGAGCTCCTGTTCCCCACAGTTGCTGAAAACAGAGAATATTTTGGAGTTTTAAACTGAATGTCAGTGTTTGGTTGTTTCGGTTGGCTAGTTAAATTTAAAAGATGCACCAGATTTTAAAAGGTGAATGTAGGGTAACAATAAATGTTTTAAACGGTATGCAAACTTAGTAAGTTGTGAGTGCTATGAATCTTTGGAAGGAGGAAATGTATGTATGTGTGGGTGTGGTTCTGGGCAAGAGTGTGTGTGCGTGCGAGAGAATATGCTTGCTGCAAGATGTATGATTAATTCCAACAAGAAAAATATTTTTTTCCCCTAAAACAATGACGTTCGTGCAGATGTATGCCTATTGTATTGGTTATGTAAAAGATTTGACTCAAGATTTCATTAAGTGGGTTGCAGCATTAGTTGTAAAACCATTTGGGTTAAAAGGAAACAAATACCTCTAAATTTCCCACAGGAAATGTTTTTGAGTCCTTTTTACCTCCTCCTTCCCCCATCATGTTTTTATGCTAAGTACAATTTTTTCCTCCAATACTTGGGACAAGATTAGCCCTTCCTTTTGTTTTGTTTTTTTATTTTAACAAATTTACATGCATGCTATGGAGCAAGCTATTTTTTTTTTCAAAAGTGAACTTCTGTAGAACGAGTGTGACAAATGAGGAGTCTGTTTATGTCTGGCAACATCTGAAATGTTAAGCAGTTGAATAGTGTTGTCTGGTGTGAAAGCCTTGTCTATGAAACTGAAGCCCAGATTTGGAGTAGGCCAGTTTGTTTTAGACTAGTTTACTGTAGGATTAGATTTTTCAGAGTCACTAGGTGAACTGTTGTATTATCATATTGATAATATCAAGCCCTTCCGCTTCAGTGTGTGGCAGATTTTCCTCTTCACGTTTCTTTGCAAATGGTTGTTGTGCTTTATCAACGAAAGGAAGGCCAGTTCCTTGGCAGCCAAGCTAAGGAGATACCTGTCTCTGCCAGGCTTTTATATCTTGTGGCACTGTCTCGGTGTGTCTGAATCCCTCTTTCCTGGTGCATAAGGGAACTAATGTCTTGGCTGCCCTCCCTTTCTCCCCCACAAACTAGGGGTACAGAAGATGGCTGCATATCCCCACTATATTCTCATGGTGGACAAGTTGACCTGGAGTTTGATTCTCCCCTTCCACTAGAACTCCTACCAAGATTCTTCTTTCTCTGTAGCTTGTAATTAATTAATGTGGAACCCATCAGGAAGTTCTTCTGCAGAAAAACAAGATTAAATTAAAAACCCAGGAAGTTGGTCAGGAATGATGGCTTGTATTCCCTTCCTTGCTTTGTTCGTTGTTACAGCTGCTTCTGCTGTCTCATCCATGGATCATAGGAAGTGGGAGGAACTTTAATTGTATCTTCCTTGGTCCAAACAAGTTTCTTCCTTCGAGGAGGTTTCTTCCTTCCTAGTAAAGTAACAGCTCAGTAGAAAATAGATACTGCCATCAACCATGTTCAGTTTGAGCATGATCCATGGATAGAATATACTGTATTTTTCGCACCATAAGACGCACTTTTCCCCCACAAAACAGGGGGGGTGGAAAGTCTGTGCGTCTTATGGAGCGAAGAAAACAGATTATATTTTCCTGTTTTCTTCTCCTAAAAAATTGGTGCGTCTTATGGAAAGGTGCGTCTTATGGAGCGAAAAATGGTAACTTTAATATTTCCAGTAATGGGTGGGTCAGTGATGCCAGTCCTGAAAAATTTAAGTTGCAGGCTTACTGTTATTAGCTCAGGTAGCAACGGAATTGCTGGGGATAGTCATCATCCTAGTCTATGGAAAATACAACTGTGACAAGGCTTGAGATAGTCACAGTGTGTTCCATGCTCAGGTCACTTTGAGCTAAAATAGAAGATGCTATTGACAACTGGTGATTTTCTTAATATTTACTTAAAACCAAGAAAGCAAATTTAATGGCCTCACACCAGACTGGGATTGCATTGCAAAATGCTACATAATCTTTTAGACACACTGAATAGCATTCATTATTATTCTTTGTTTCTACCAACAAATTGGCTCTAGCATAACTAAAGTTACAAAGGTTACAGTTTGCATTTGGCAGGAATTGTAGTTTCTGCTGTTCTGTTACGACCTTTGTTTCCATTTTGAATAAAAAAAGCTTACACTGTATCTGCATGATTACATACTCATTTTTGGTTGTTGTCTTGAATCAACATATATTGTTAAACGCCATTAACTCAGTTTTATTCTGTAATTACCACAATCATTTCAATACCACCACCTTAAAAGTTTTTAAGGCACTTTATTTATATTTATGTTCAGTATGGGAAAAATATTTTTGACCATTACTTTTAAGTTCACTTATCAGTGTATGTGTCTGCCTGAACTGGAGCCCCTCCTCCATAGCTTTCTGTGAGTTTTTTTTTAAAGCATCCTTATTCATATAATGTTAATAAATATACCAAATCAAAGATCATCCTTTGTTTCTGAAAAAGTCAGGAGTGAATAACTCGGTACTAAATCTATGGTTACTGTCCTTTAATGTGAACACAAATATATAATCTGGCCATACTATGTCATTGCATGGCTTTTCTTGAAGAGGCTTTTTGAACAAATAAGACCAGTTTTCCACTAGTGAGGCTTAACCAGATTACTATCAATATTTTAAAGTCACTTCTGAAATCAAGCTGACACTTAACTAGGTAGGAATCACAACTCCTGTTCGGTGTCTTCATGCCAGTTACACAGCTTTCGTGACAAAGGAATGAAAATCTATTCTGACAGCTATTACGGTGTATGAAAATAATTATGAAACCACCTATACATTTCATGTGCAGCCTGATTTACTCAACTTTCCTCACAAGCAAGCTCTACTGAAATTAGTGGGACTTACTGTAAGAGAAGTAGGCACTGTATATGCCAGCCAGAGACCTTTGATAGTGTGGGTGGCATATAAGTTAAATAAATAAACAAATAAAATAAACCTTAGTATTTATGGATTTTTAAGGAGGCTGTGGATGTATTTATTGCAGATGTTATTTTAAAGGGTGCACAGGAAAGGTACTGTCTCTCCCTAGCTTGTGGCAGACTCATGTAACCTTTGAGGGGAGAAAAAAAAACTGACCAAATTATAAGCAAAGTTTTATTTTTATTTTTAATGTGTCATGATTTTTAGATTTTTTTTTCCATCTCAGTATTTGAATAACTCAGGTGTTGTAAGAAAACTTGTTGAAACAAAGAACATAACTTATGTCATGTGACTTGTAAACCTATTTGTAAAATTCCATAAATAAACTATATTCTGTAATTACAATTGAAAAGTGCTTTATTTTCATTGAAAAAGACTTAACAAAAATGCAAACAAAATCCTTATTTCTTTTTGTAAGTATCTTTAAAAATTATACTCACCCTTTGATATTATTCTTCCAGTATTTTACAAAGGAAAAAACTATCTCTGTAGGGGTCCATTTTATGAAGTAATGTAGAAAGCCAGTTCACAGAATTAAGAAGTTACACCAAGAAAATGCTTTTGGGGCAAGAGGCAACAAGATTATTATAATACAAATAAATATAATATGATAATGATATACAGATAAAAAGGATAAGTTTTAAAATTCAGTTACTGTGAAGAGCAAGGTAAATCTAATAACCTTGGGGGAATGAAAACATCTTTGCACAACATTGTACATATGCAGGACAAACCTACCAACAAAAGCAGGATGCACAAAGAAACTTCCTTATTGGTCACCACCCACTGCGTTTAAAAGATGGAGGAATAAGGAAAGCCTGGAATGAAGGTTTATTTGGTACTTTGAACACTCCCCGGTTATTGTGTTCTGTAGGTCTAGCAGGGCTGTAGTTCATTAATGCAACATATACAGATGATTTTGGATTCAACCCATTTATGCTTGTGAGTTTTCCGGGCTCTTTGGCTGTGTTCTTAAGGTTTTTCTTCCTAACGTTTCGGCAGTCTCTGTGGCCGGGATCTCCAGAGGACCTGTCCTCTGAAGATGCCGGCCACAGAGACTGGCAAAATGTCAGGAGGAACAACCTTCAGAACACGGCCAAGGAGCCCGAAAAACCCACAACAACCATTAGATCCCGGCCGTGAAAGCCTACGAGAATACAACCCATTTATGTTGCCCATTTTGTTTTAAAGAAAAAGGATCTGAAAATAAGATAAAAGACAGTTCTATGAAATGCCCCAAAACTACTGTAGTACTCAATACTGCAATAAAGAGGTAAATAGCATAAGACTTGCTAAGCGGTAGCCTTCTGTGTTCTTAAGAAGATCCTTGAAATCAGCTCAGAAGCAGTAGAAACCAGCATGCTGAAATTGGCAACCCTATGTTAACTGATTGGATGAAGTGATGGCAACTGCTTATTCGAGCCCTTCTGACTAACCTGTAATGGCCTGCCCAAAAATTGGCTTTAGATGTAGAGCTGCTCTTTAAACAGAAGATGGCAGTGATGCTTGCAGTGCTGACCGAGTGTGTACTTTGGGCCTAGGTTGCTATACTCCATATGCACGCTTGTAGATGTTACTATTACCGTAGACCTTGAACAGATTTTAGGGCACTGCATGAACTTCCAAGTGCTTCTTCTAGGAGTGATTCTAGATTTCTGCTCTTCCCTTCAAAGAGAAACAATAAATATAAGACATTCCCATTACCTCCAAGTACCATCTACTACATTGGACCCTCGACTTACAGACGGCTCGACTTACAGACTTTTCGAGTTACAGACTTCTCTGGCAGCAAAATTTAGATTCGACTTGCAGCCGGAGAATCGACCTACAGACCAGAAATTAACCAAAATGGAACTAAAACAGAATAAAAACTGCCAGTTATGGGATTAATCTGTTTTCAATGCATTGTAGGTCAATGGAGATTCGACCTACAGACTTTTCGACTTGCAGCCACTGTTCCAATACGGATTAATTCCGTAAGTAGAGGGTCCACTGTATCTCACGGACAGAATAAATACTCTTGTATATCAGGGTAAAACATGTCCCGGACCTTACATCAAGAGCAGAACAAGGAAATACGGCTGGCTGGAAGATATTGGGCACTGTAGTCCAAAAAACCCAAACATTTTCAATCCCCTTCCAAGCTCAATGACCTAAACATGCTCAATTCGCTTTCATAGAGTGCAGGGGGTTTCCTGCCTGCTGTATTTGCTTATTTATTAATATTTGTTCATTTAAAATATTTATACCTTGCCTTTCTCCTCAAGAGAGAATCCAAGGCACCTTACAATATTAAAATTACCATATTTTTCCATGTATAAGACTATACTTTTGTATAAAATCTTTAGAATAAAAATTGAGGGTCGTCTTATACATGGAAGTAAGCTGAGGATAGAAAAAAAGTGGAGGGGAAAGCGGGGATCAAAGTGATCCTGCAGGGCTTAGATCCCTGCTTTCCCCTCCACTTGCTAAGCCCCACTTAGATTTTTTAATTTTGGGTTAGAAAAGTGGGGGGCATCTTATACATGGGGGGCGTCTTATACAAGGAAAAATACAGTAGTTATATTACAAAACGGAAGAGGAGGAAACAGCAACTCTCCCCTATTAGATACTCATTTACCTTCACCTATCTTCTACTGAATGAAAATAGGGTATGTGTTTTGTTAGATTGAGACATTATTAGCAAAGAAATTTTGCCCTGTATTAAGCTCTAGTTGCAGCAAGCAGAGATGCATCCTCTATGTGTACAAAATGTAGAAGGCACTGGGTGTTCCACAGTTCATAGCTTTCCTGCAAAGATTTAACTTCTCGAGGGTTAAGGGAACAAGGCTAAAACTTGAAGAAACCATTTTCAACAACCAGTTTAACATGGATTCTCTCACTAAACAGGAAAAAAAAATAGGTCGGCTCCTTGCCTCATAAAGAACGGAGTTTGGGATTTGTAAAATGTTACCCTGCTCATTAAATAAATATAGATATGGTCTGCCAAAGCAGCTCTCATCTGAATGGAAAAAAAAGGAGAAGAGGGGGGCTTGTTTTAGGCTTACAAACTAAAAGGATGAGAGGGGAGATCACCTGGTATATTTGAACTGCTTCAATTAGGGCAGCAACATAGAATATAAATGAAACACTGAGAAAGTCAAACTACTGTACAGACTTTCCACTGCAATAAGAAATGCAACATTTTTCAATGAAAGTAGTATTTTTTTCCCCCTGAGGAAATGGAAGGGGTCACTCCTGTTAGTCTGTTGCACAAGGAACAGCAACAGCTTGTTGCAGCAGCTCAGAGTGTTAATGTTTATTGCTGGCATAAGCTCTCGCTAAGCCAGAGCCCACTTGGGCAGATGCCACCTCTGTGGGGTTACCAGGAATTACCATTGATAACAAGAGCAGATCAGCGGAAAGCCCTTCTGCAGATGGGCAGCCGCACTCGTCTAGGGCAGCAGAAACAACAAGAGTCAATCTTTCTGGAGGGGGTAGTAGGTGTTTTAACAGACAGCAGCAGAACTGACGAGTCGTCAGGCATCTTAAGAGACTCGCCGCAGCCACAATACCACACAGACTGGAGTAGAATTGCTGAACGGAGAGCAGAATTATTTTTGCATGCATTATTACAGACTACAGCCACTTTCATCCTGTGCACGGAGAGGATGTTAGCTTAAGTGTGTGAATACATATGCAAACGTGTGTGTGTAAATATATATGGATGTATATGTATACCCTATATGTTTACTGTATATGTATGTTGGATAGACCAAAAACACAGCATGCTACAAGGTCTGTGCTGTTTCTATGGAGACAGAGCAATTTAACATTCCTTGTCTCTATGGGATCTCTAATCAAAGCGCCCCCCCCAAAAAAATAAAAAAAGCCGGGCTGATCCAGACAAAGATTCTTGCCTGCCACTTGCTAACTGTAAGCCCGAGCCACAGCTTTTTCCTCTTATGGGATTTTAAATGCTGCTTCAAGGTCTCTTTGTGTAAGATCCCACTGCACCGAGGTTAATAATAATAATAATAATAATAATAATAATAATAATAATAATAATAATAATAATAATAATAGTAATAATAATAGTAATGATGATGATGATGATGATGATCACGACGACGACCCCTCCCGCCTTTTTCTTCTGCACGCCCAAGCAGCTTCCTTTTCCCATCCCAAATCCAGCTGCTCGTTTCCTAGCAACTCTCCTCTTCCCCCCCCTTCAAAATGGCGGCAGGGGAAGAAGTGGGGGGGGGAAAGAGGGGAAATCCATTGACCGCAGCTTGATCACGTGACCCCAAGCGAGCGTAAACTGCTGTTCTCTCCTCGCTCTCCCGCCCCCCCCACGGCAGTCTCCTCGACCTCCTTTCCGCAGGCGCAGGCGCGACGCGGGCCAATCAGAGGGCGCGCGGCTGAGGCAGCCTCCTAAGGCCGGGTGGGCTTTGGCGCATGCGTAACGGCGCTGTGAGTGTGAAAAGGAGAGGGAGGGAGAGAGAGAGTCGCGCCAGGCGCCTGCGCTGCAGAAGCCAAGGGACGGCGGCCTTGACAGCTTCTACCTTAGAAGTGTGGCGGGGAGGGTGGAGAGGAGAGGAGAGCGACTCGCGACTCTGGCGCATGCGTGGTAGCGGGCAGGCGCGGGGGCTCGGGTGGAGGGAGCCGCCGCCGCCGCCGCCGCCGCCCGGGCACTGAGAGGGTTCCCCGGTCTTTGCGTCTCTGCCGCCGCCGCCTGGGCCTCGTCAGCCGCCCTTGCCGTTGGAGTCCCGGCCCCTCCCGAAGGGAGGCAGGAAGGTCCCGGGAGCCGACGGGCCCGGCGGGACCATGTCCGGGCGCGCCCAGAGCGGGAAGCAGTCCACGACGGAGCGCATCGTGAAGGGTGAGGGGGCGAGCCGGGCGGGGGAGG